CCCAGGCCCTCGAGCAGGGAGCCAAGCCGGCCCTAACTCAAGGCAGGGCAGCAAATGGCGGCCAGGTCCTGACTCAAGGCGTGGCCGCAGACAAACACCCAGGTTTGTAGAAGCTCCTAGTTCAAGAGCTGGGCAGGTAGTGCACCTGCAGCAGTGGCAAAGGGGGAGACTGCCACCCGGTTAGTGGGTGGCGGAGGGGGCGCAGGCCCACCCACTCTCCTGCGCCCCGGCCCAGGGGCCCTGGATGCAGCAGTTCAGCTGCTACAGGCTCAGCAGGGGCTCCAGCCCGCAACTTGCTGGCCTAGGGCGGTTCTCAGCCCATGCTACCCCCTGGGCCGCTTCTTGTCTCCCCCTTCGCTGGTACCTGTACCTCCAGCAGGTCTGAGCAGGGAGTCGAGGCGCTGTCGTCCCAGCAGGGTCCGGCTGGCCCAATCCAGGGGTCAAGGGGTTGGAACCCCGCAGCGTCCCGCGGGCTCACCCGGCCCCGGCGTTCCAGTACCCATCGGGGTTCCAGCTGGTCCAGCGGCTCGGTCCAGTCCTCGGGGTCCCCAGGAGGTTCAGCTGGCTGGCTTGGCCAGGCCTCAGTAGCCCTGGCAGGGAAGCCTTGGCTGGCTTCCGAGGAGGCCGCTGAGGGCGGCCTAGCCCGGGTCTTAGCCTCCCCAGGCAGGAGCTCCAGACAGGCCACCGGCTCCTTCAGAGGCTGGGCCCTGACTGAGCTCCCCAGCAGCCTTCTTATAGTCCTAGCCCCGCCCTTTGACTTCCAGTCAGGGGAGGGGGTGGGGCTAGGCTGGGCCCAAAATGGCTCCCAGAGGGGGTCCTCCGCCTCTGGCTCAGTGGGTGGCCATTCCACCCCACTACAGCATGTTACAGTCAAAAGCTGCTAAAGGCTGTGCCATATAATGAGTAAAACAAAAACAAAAAAAAACCCTCTCCAAACAAAAATATATTCAAACTAGAATAGCAATATAGCAAAGTACAAAAACAAACTTGGTCATTCTGTATGAGCATTATGTTCATACATCAAGAACAATGATTGAAGCATACTTAGCCTATTACAAAAAGAAGACAGCATAGTATAAATGTAAAAATCGACAGAGATATACAAATTTGAGCATGGCAAAAAAGTTATTGTAGTTACTGAACCAGAGAGCAACAGCCATTGGAACGGTGCTTGTTCATACAACAGGGTTAGCGTGAACATACTGCTTATGAGTAATAAAAGCACTCATGATCAAAGCAATATGATTTCATATGCACGTGACCTGGAAATAAGTCAGAATTAACACAGGGCAATGGGGAGACAGATCTAACTCAGGCATCAGATGAAGGATCTGCCAAACGATAAAGGGATACTATCAAAGAAATGGCTGCAGGTTTTATAACCTCTTGCTATAGAATAAAAGAATATTTTTCAACAATATAGAAGAGAATTGTAAGAAATTAGCAAACCTAAATTATTTCTATAACTTTCTATGTAGATATTCCCTGTTGGCCTCATCCTGCAACCCTTATTCATGGTAGACTGAATTACTGGAACTCAGGAGTTGGTAATGTATACCACATTTAATAGAAACTACTAGTTGAGATGAAAAATGTTTACATTAAGAACATCACATCTATAAGTATAATGCTAACGTTCCATTCTTGCAATCCTGGTCCATAGTTTGAAACAATGCATCCCACTGCAAGGTGTCAGTGATAGGAATTGAAGCTTCATGTCTCACACTCTATTTGTAACGGAGTTTTCACTTCATTAATTTACAGGCTGGTTCAATGCACTGTATGTACAGTTACCACAGGAAGGCAGATCTGAAAGTTGGCTACCTCTTGATGAGAGAAGTTAAAAATATAACCCCCAAAACCCTGAAGTGGAGGAGGTGAGAGAAAAGAAACTGCCCCCCAGTAAAAAAGTTTGGCCAGGCCGCTCTTGACTCCTTGAGAGAAACTGGCCGCACCCTTCCTGCATACCATTGCCTTTAGAAAAGGGGAAGGTGTGAAAAGGGGAAAATAGCCTGACTCTCCCACCCATCACCTTGGCGTGAGAACTGC